AATAAAAAAGATAAATAAAAAAATAGCAATAAATTTAAAATCATTAATTTTAAAGAAAATATATTACTAATACTTCTTCTTCTTCTTCTTCTCGTGTCTCTTCTATTGAAGATTGACGATCATCATGGCAATTTGTACTTTAGAAACAGCAGTCCTGAAGAGTGCTCTTTCTCGTGCTCTTTTCATACCATTGTCACAGGTTTTTTAGCCATGAGATTCTGCGACATCCGAGAGTTCTCTTACCCTCGATTTTTCCTTGGATTATGAGTTGTAGGAGTCGGTACTTGTTATTCCTCATAACATGTTCAAAATATTTTAATTTTTTTCTCTTCACTGTTGGAAGCAATTGTGGATTGGTTTCATTTGCCTCAGGATTTCAGTATTCGAGACACAATCTTTCCAGGAGATTCGAAGCATTCTGCGGTATACCCACATTTCGAAGGCCTCTATTTTATTTTCTAAGGCTTGAGTGATGGTCCAACCTTCCATGCCAAAGAATCCAGGAACACATAACAGCACACCATTCTTAGACGAAGTTCAAGTTTCAGATTCCATTTTAGCACTTTTTCCATCCTGTTGAACACAGATCTGGCTTGTTCAATCCAACTTCTTATTTCCTGACTCATCTCCCATCACTCATTGATGAGACATCCAAAGTAACAATAGCGCTCTATTGTTATAGCGCTCTATTTGTTGACCTTTCAGTATCAGTATCAGTTATGCAGGGACATTTTCTCTTTTGCTGATTACCATTAACTTCGTCTTTCTTGCATTTATGATAATTCCTGCTTCTCTACTGGCCACATTGACTCTGTCCAACAATGCCTGCAGCTCTCCTTCCGACGACACCAGCAATACAGTGTCATCTGCATACCTTAGATTATTAATTATTAGTTCGTCATTGATCATCCTCTGCAGCGTTTTCTAGCGCTTCTGCCATTATCCTTTCGGAATACAATTAAAGAGAGTTGGCGAAAGTACGCAGTCCTGTCTCATATCTCTTCTTATGGATATTTCGCGTTTCTGAGTCATCAATTAGAACTGACGCCGTCTGCTGCCAATAAAAGTTTGCAATTATTCTAATATTCTTGTCATCGAGTCCTATTTGCTTCAGTATTTTGATAAGCTTATCGTGTCGTACACAATCACAATTTGGGAGATATCCAAGTGTATAATCGTCTGGCTGGCAAGAAAGAAAGTGTTCATAACAATAAAGTCTTCTTCTTACAATAAATATATTAATAAATTAGTAATATATTATGTAAAATAAAGTTTTATAAATATACACATTTTATTATCTTTAAAACGCTTATGTTTTTAAATTACAATATTATAATTTAAGATTAATATAGTTAATGTATTTAAAAATAAGTGAGAATAGCCAAAAGATGGCGGACCAATCAAAAGTTGCTTTTTCTCTTATTGTAATGTCTCTAGTATAATATAGACATCTGTGACACCGGAAACCCTATCGGACGCAAGCCACGCTATCTCGATAATGACATGTTAAGCCAGCGGCACATGATGCTTTTTTTCCTGCTGATTTGCTAGCTGGATTTGCGTGCTCGTTGAGCTCTTGTCTCTGATTGATATATTCTTTTGGATCTAAAAAAATATACCAATCGAAAACAAAAGTTCAACAAGCACGCGAATCCAGCTAGCAAACCAGCAAGAAAAAAAACATCGTGTGCCGCTGGCTTTAGTGTGACGTCCCGTCGTTTTTCATTCTATTATATTGCCAACCTGACAAATATTTATTTTTGACTATTAAGGGTCGGCCAGAATGACGAGCAAACTCCGAATTAATATTTGTTTAGGATTAGGATAGTTCGAAATTACCAATCGAAATTAGATTCCTTATATTTGTCTCGCGGATCGCCCGTTAGACATTTAAGCTGAGTATACATCACACGTACCTGGCATGGGATACACGCGGTAAACACATGCTCCGTGGAATTCGCGACGTGGCGCACCTCTATGATCCTCGAAATTCGGACGAGTGAACATTGTTCGTTGCGCACGGCTCGCGTTCGCTTCTTGCTCCCGATTGACATAGATCGCTAAATAGTTCGATAGCGTTTTCCATTCCAGCATCGTCTTTTACCGTCGTCTCGTATTCCGAACAAAATTAGTGATTGTCGCCGCATTTGCCGTGAGAAGTAGAGTGACCTCGCGTAAAGTGTACACGAAGGTCGATCAAGAACCATAACTTAAAGCGATCTCGTAAGAAGATTTCCGATTTTGTTGCCGTGTTCTCGAAGATCTCCGTTGATTAACACTAGAAAATTTCTGATGTGTCGTGTGCAAACTACTCTGCATTTCGACTGCTAAAGATAGCGACAGCTATATCGTTCTCCTCCATTAATTATATGCGTGGTGAATAAACTATATTTTTATAAAATAACGGAATTATATATGTTTAACATATATGTTTAACACTATTATATAGTATTTTAGATACTATTATAGTGTTATGTAGCCCTCAAGATACGCTACAAGAATATGTAATAAAAAATAGAGGTTTCCATTTAAAAAAACATTAATGACCTTGACCTTGATTTTGACAAGGTCACTCAAGGTCAAATCCACATTTCCATCCCCCTTCAAATCATGCAACTTTCATTCGAAAAATTTTTTAATAAAATCATCGATTCGCGAAATAATCGACTATCACTTAAAATAAAACACCTTGTACAACACACACACACACACACACACACACACACACACACACACACACACACACACACACATATGCATATATGTATACTTATAATATTAAAATTTATAGTTTCAAAAATGTATAATAATAAATAATAGAAGTAATAAAATAAGTAATAGAACAGAATAAGTAATAGAATAATAGTAAACAGGATGAAATAATGCAAAATAGGATGGGATATCTTGCACATTTCGAAAAACTTATAAAGTATAAGTTAGGAAAAAGTATAATACATAAAAATTGCATAATTTCGAAAGAGTCATTATATAATGTATACATTTTTTTTATAAGTGGCGCATTTAAAAAATTTCAAAATCAACATCGTTTTTTAAATAAAATTATATATTTTTTGTTATATAATATGATTGTTCTAGTTATTTTGAATATAAAAGTATTAAAATACAAATGTCAAAAAATCAATAGTTTAAGAGATATTTTATATTTTAGTCTCACATATTCACATATTTTTTTATAACTGTATCTTAATATTTATATGCATATAATAAAGAAACAAATCGATTGATAAAGAAATCTAAAAAAAATATGTACGTACATTTTGCCTATTACATAATTCTTTTTTAAAGCAGTTATGTATCTTCCTAACCAATTGGTCTTTTGTCTTATTATTTTATGCATAAAAATATTAAGGTACAGTTATCAAAAAAATAAATAGTTGTGAAATGTTTTATATATATTGTATATCAGAATATGTGAAACTAAAATATAAAATATCTCATAAACTATTGATTTTTCGACATTTGTATTTTAGTATTTTTATATCCATAATAATAAGAGGCATCATATTACATATAACAAAAAAATATATTTTTATCTAAAAAACGAAATTAATTCTGAAATTTTTTTAATATTTTTATTTATAAAAAAATTTGTACTCTGTGCAATGACCCCCTTAAAGCCATACAATTTTTATATAATTTTTATATAATAACAATTTTTTATATAATTTACAAGCTCTTAGAAGTCTGCAAGTTAGCCTGTCTCATTCTGTATACAAGACACGGGCATGTTTCTAATATGTTTATACATCTTATTCGATAATTTCATAATGCGACATACTATGTGTACAATTGTTGAGAGATGTCAAATAATAACTATTGCTATCCTTGTTCCTCTATCATACATTTTGTCTTTTTTTCTATCTAATTTTTTGTCTCACTTTTCTTTCAATAATTATATCCATGTACGAGGTATATTGATATTGTAGCTACATGAACGTTACATTTACAAAGTGTATGCGAACAAAGCATCATCAAAATTGGCAGTTTTCCTTGTCAAGCTACCAATGTTATCACTGAAATATCCCCATATAAATCTAGTAATACCGCTAAAATATTTTTTCTCTTTGAAAAAGCTATATTTCTCATAAAATTTTCTTTAATATATTTTTTATATAAATATGCAAAGTGTAACAAAACCAGATTTTGCATTTTGCTCAAAAATTTATAATAGATAAAATAGACTAACTGCATCTAACCCGCGAGGAGTTACATGATCTGTACGTTACTTAAAATTTTATTTTGATCCTTTTTTCAAAAAGTGGCTCTGTCACGACTTGCTAATGATTCTACTGATTACGAATATCACGATTTTTTATAATTCTTTTATAATTTTTTTATAATTCTCTCTGTATTTTATCCATAATAATGTATTAGCAAATCCGTAATTTACAGCTGGCCGCGAGAGGTCTCCACACTGTCTCCGGCCGACCTTAAAAACGTTACATCTTCTTCGATTGATGAAATAATCATCATAACAAGTAAAATTTCTTTTGTCCATCCTAACCTTTATTTATACACGGCTTATTGAGGACCGCAATTAATAATAATAACAATAAAAAATATAATAACTTAATTTTAGACAATACTAAAGCTCTTACCATTAAAAGTTCGGAAATAATTTATTTCATTACAATAGATGTCTTATGGAACTAGTTTATCATATGGTGTATAGATGTCGAATAAAATTTCCTACATTACTGATAGTTCCTTGTGAAGCCAACAGATGGCCTGAATCAAATTTGACTTTAAACTTAACTTTTATACGTTAATAAGACAAAACAAAGAAAATGTTAACAAGATTACTATGTTTCACACAGGGAACAAGAATAATAATAAAATTTTCGAAAAGGCACAAATAAATAAGACCATGATGACGTTACTCAAAATTTTGCGAATAACGGGATAAACTTAAATTTGCAAAGCGATCAGTTTAGTAACAATAACAAGAGCATAAAAGAGATTTTTCGAAAAATTCAAAATTGTAAAATTTCAAGATGGCGATCTCTTGATAACAAAATGATAACACTATTCAATAGCCCTATGTTAATTGTAAAATATCATGTTTGAATTTTCTTAATACAACCAATAGTTTCCGAGATAATTCCATTTGTTTATAATTTTGTAACTCTCTCTCAGCAACTCCTTTTATCTCCCTTGAATGTACTAGTAAAGGTCCGACATCGAGACGTTCTGTTCTCGAGAGTGAGTTCTCCCAGTTGCGCACAGAATAAATCGGACACAGCAGGTTGAATGGATCGCACACTGGTCCAAACGGACACAATAAGGAACGGACATAAGGTGGTTGAAATCGGACACAGTAACAATCGGACACAGTAACAATCGGACACAGTGACAATCGGACACAGTGACAATCGGACACAGTAACAATCGGACACAGTAGGAAATGGACACACGGTAGCTGCAATCGGACATAGTAATAATCGAACACAGTGACAATCGGATACAGTGACAATCGGACACAGTGCCAATCGAACACAGTAAAGAATGGACACACGGATAGTTGCAATCGTGACAGTTTTCCTAAAAAAATGTTAAAAGTGTTATTATATTCGAAGTGCAAGATGCAATCTTTCGCCTTATTAAAATGATAGATTCTAGAAAGATTGGCAAAGACTCCTATGCAAGGTTTGAGGATGAAGACATAATTTTTCGCCTTATTAAATTGATGAGTCTATCATATATTAAAATGATAGATCCTAGAAAGATTGGCAAAGACTCCTACGCAAGATTTAGGGGTGAAGACGTAATCTTTCACTTTACTAAATTAATGAGGAGTGATACCCATTTGACCACTAGCCACTCACAGAGCTTGAACAGTGGAAAAATTCTAGACGCTGGCCTCTGTGAGTGGCTAATGATCAATCGGGACGTGGTCAAATGGGTGTCACTCTTAATGATCTATCATGTATTAACATGATGATAGATCCTAGAAAGATTAACAAAGATCCCAATGCAAGGAATGGGTGTGAAGTTGTCGCTGATCTTTTCATTTTGTTACAAATATAATTTTGTATTGTATAATTAGTTCTATGATAGTGGGGGAGGGGGATTTCGCCCCCCGAACCTTCCCTATCATGCGCACAGAGTCACAATGCATACTCAGTTTGCTGCATTACGTCGACAGATTTCCTAATCAAAACAGTCGTCAACTTTAACGCTTAATATCTCGATTCACAAGGCAGACTGCATTTTTTTGCTAGGTTCTTTTATTATTTATTTATTTACCTATCCGTGAATCCATTTCC